ATCGAAAAAGTACGCCTTATATGCGTGAAATTAGGGTAATTGAATTTCGTTTCTGCCGAATTTTTCAGATTGTAGTTGCTACTTTGCAAATTCAGCGAAGCTAGGTTATGTACAGCTTTCTGAAGTAATAAAAGTGCACTTGGGTTCCAACCGATTCTATTTTCTTTCCAAATTCGGAGAATAGGGGTCCAAGGAGCAAGAGGCTAACAAAACCTCTATTGCGCAAAAATGCGATCGGAACGAAAAAATATCACAAGTGTGCTGATCACAAGCAACGCAAAGTTACTTTTGTAAAAATGAGTTGTTCACGTTATTTACTTGCATGAACTCGGCTACCTCGTGTACATAATTTCGTCTTCACAGTTTTTGGCTCGAAAAAGCAACTTAGGCGTGTAGAGAAGCCTTCTCATGTTCTGTCTTACAGATCCACATCTCCCGAGAACATTGCCCTCCGCTAGAGGATCCAGTGAATGGTGTACAAGTCTGCGAATCTTGGGGACCACATCTACGTTACAAGGTTGATTACTATTTATGTAGGCCGAGACCTTGGAGCTCGAATTGTTTTCGACACAGAAGACCATTTTCGGTGTCTCAAAGAAGTCTGTATTTAGGCTTGCTCGATAGAATGCCGTGAAGGTTACGAGTTTTCAAGATCACCAGCTATATTCTACACTTGTGCGAGTGATGGAGTTTGGAGGCCAAGAAATCGTAATCAAATGGTGTTCAGATACCCTCAGTGCACGAAGTGAGAAAAAGCAATTTCATAGATTTGTCCTTCACACTAAACAAATGTGTACCATCATTTGCGCCCAGTATGCGGCTAGACTACGAAAAATAATCTTGAAAAATGCAAAGAGCAAAAATGTCAACGACATAACTGATTATCAACTGAGAATGTGTTGAGGTCTTTACCTGCTACGCGCACAGTTCTTCTTCGAGTCGCTTATCCGGGAAAATCGCCGTGTACGGAAGCAAGCAGAGATGCTCTAAAATCCAAATTAATGGCAAGCATCAACACAATCAATCAGAAGTGGGATATGTGTGCGTTGACGTAAGTGATAAATTTGTATGAACCCTACTTCATTTATAAAACGGCTTATTTAGGGATGCCAATGGTTGTGTCGGCGCCAAAATTGACGTCGATTGTTCAGAAGAATTTGCTCGGGTAAAGAGGAGCACCCAAACGTTCAGTGTTCGCATAGAACTACCCGTCAAAAGGTCGTCGGCTCTGTAAAAAA